GCTGGAGAAGAGTATATGAATATACCATGGGCTGCCCAGAAAACAAACAGATTCAGCCTGGAGAGGGTTAAACCAGGATGCTCCTTGCAGGCATGGATTCTGTGGCTTTGTCTGACATACTTTGGACATGCTGTAAGGAGGGACAGTTCGTTGGAGAGGGATATCATGCTTGGGAAGGTTGAGGGACGGCGCAAGAGGGGAAGACCCTCTATGAGGTGGATTGGTTCAGTGACTGGGGTAATCGGGATGTGTGTGTCAGAGACAGTGCGATTGGCACAGGATAGAGCAGGATTTAGGGCTGTTGTGCATAGGGCCGCTAGGAGTCACAAGTGACTCGATGGCACATAACAACAACAAACAACAACTTTGCATTCTCTAGGTGTTCTATGAAATGTGAGTTCTAGCTTTCTCGTTTATATTCTATTGTTTGCATGTATTTAGTTATTTCTGATAATTATTTCTAAATTAGGTCCCGTAGGTTTGTCTCTGTGTTTTGTTCCAAGTCCTTTCGAGTTCTGGATTTTATATACAGGTCTTTGATTTATTTTGAGCTTATTTTTGTGTATGATTTGAAGTATAGAGTCTGTTTTCATTTTTTTTTTCCTAATTGATATGCAGTTTTGACACCACCATGTATTAAAGAGATTATCTGTTTCTTTTAAAGTACTTTGACTCATTTCAAATCCATAGTTGGATGAATTTACTTGAAATTCTCAATTCTGTTCCATTGGTCTTTGTGCCTCTCATTCTAACTACTTTGGCAGTTTCATGACCTATTTTTGGTTGGGTATATGTGCAGCAGTGCAGATGAATCTCCTTGAAGAATTAGCAAAACTTGCCCCATTTGCTGCAACACAGTGCATGTCCAGAATTTTACATACATTTTCAGAGATTTCACAGATTCCCTCTTGGCATTTTTAGCAGGTTAAAGAATCTCTGCCACTGCATCTTTCTGTTCACTAAACTGTGACTGAAGATAAAGGTTCTCTGTGGTGTGTGCATGTAATGGAATCTTACTAAATTATATGACTGCTTTTATAATTTCATGCTTAAAAGTTTGATAATAGAATTACAAAACCACTTTTATATCTCAGAATATTTCTACCTGTCTTGATTGCTCATAAAACAGTGACCCGGGGGGATTCTAGGGGCATAGTGTGTAGGGAAATGTGTAGCTAACTCAATGGCCTTGTCTCTAATCGTTGAAATCTACCAGCTGCTCCTTAAGCAAAAGATGGCTACTTCCTGCTGTCATTTAACACCCAAGAAAGCAATGGAGGATAGTTAAGTCAGAAAGGACTTGATGTCAATGAGTTTGGTTTTTAAAGAATTACAAAGATTAAAGGATTTTACAAAAGAAAAAGTAAATACATTTCTTTTACTAAGATAACTGAGCTGTGTGAACTGGTCTTAAATTATCAAACCTGTGCATACTGTTTGGAATGAATAGATGAAAGGAAGATCAATCTAAAATGAATGGACCAATTGCCATTATATGTATGGCATTTAGCAGTCTAGAACAGGAGATAGATAAATTATGGATTGAATTTGGGGAAGGGAGGAACAACAATAGAAAATGTATATGAGTGAGTGAATGGAAAACTAATTTCTTTGTAAGCTCTCATTGAAATCACAGTTGAAAAAAAAATTCCAAGGGAGCTCTGGTGGCCTAGTGGCAAGAAGCTGCACTGCATCCCAGTGGTACATGGTTCGAATCCACTAGATGCTTTGCTGGAGAAGGAGGGGCAATCTCCTGTGCCAGTCAGATCTGATTTGACAGCACACACACACACACAAAATAATAAAATAAAAAAATTTTTAAAAAACATCCAGGCTGCTCCATGGAGGCAAGGATTCTGAAGCTTTGTCTGACATACTTTGGACACATTGCAAGGAGGGACCAGTCCTTGGAGAGGAAGACCCTCAATGAGATGGATTGATTCAGTGACTGGGGTAATGAGGGTAGGTGTGTCAGAGACGATAAGATTGGTACAGGACAGAGCAGGGCTTAGGGCTGTTATACATGGGGTTGCAAGCGACTTGACTGCACATTAACAACAACAACAATTCTTAGTTATAAGTTTATAGCTAAGAATTTTGTTTTTGGCAGGGGTTTTACCAAATCCAGAAGAATGAGGTGAAACAAGGGGGAGCGAGAGAAGGAGGGAGGGAAAGAGAGCGTTTTTTAACTGCACTTTAATAAAGCCCATTACTTTATTTTTAAATCCTTTCATGCTATGTTCATATTATGCTCTTGGAAATATATTATTAGGATTTTAGTTTGTTCTAGGTTGTTTTTTTTTTTTTTTTTGGTCACACCTGGAACCTTTTTGGTTGTTGTTGTTGTTGTTATATACTATGAAGTTGATGGCAACTCATAGTGACCCTATGAACCATCGATGGACCAGCATCTTTTGCCCTATCTTGTGCCAACCTCACCATCTCCAATATATTTGAACCCACTGTTATAATCACCATGTTAATCCATCTTGTTGACCGTCTTTTGGAATACCCGTTTAATGACTGACTCTGTAATCTCACCCAAAGACAGTATTGGAGGAGAAACAACAAAGATTGGTGTTCTATACTGAGACTCTCATCTTAAGCCAGCTACATTCTAACCATCAGTGTTGCATGTTGAGGCAGAAAAGAAGAGGTTGCTTCTTCGTGGAATCGTCAGCATCCTCAGCAGTGTACCATTCTGCCAAATCGCACGAGAACTTTAGATCTTTCTGGCCTGACAGATAGTCTCTGGAATAGTTAGTAACGCGGTATACCTGTATAATTCTGCATAAATGAAGATTATAAAGCAAGGTAGACTGTTTCCTACTAGTTCTGCATTCACATTTGTGGCTCTCTAAAGCCCAGTTTTAATTTGTCTTGGAAGAAGTGCAGGCAGAGTGCTGGTGATGGTGCATGTCTTCTTCTTTTTTAAATTAATTTTCCAGATCCCCACTGGATCTTTCCCTTTCCTTTATCCACTTCTCCCTCCACCCACCAAATATTGTAACCCTGTGATTATCTCCCTGCCCACCCTCACCCCTGTGTTCTCACCCCTTTTCAAATTGTATCCTCAAACATGTCCTACTAGTTATTTTTCTGTTTTCCAATAATGATCTTATGCAGTATTTGTCCTTATGAGACTGAGTTAGTTCACTGAGCATAATGTCCTTCAGTCTTTTCCAAAATCTATAGTGATTTTTCTAAATTGTTGCTCCTGAGTGTTGTGTATTCCATCGTGTGAATGTACCACAGTTTCTCAATCCATTTGATTGTGGCTAGACAGTTGGGCTATTTCCTTGTTCTTATGATGGTGAAATCTCCTTTTGTACTTCAGTTCTAATTTCCTTCGGTTATATTCCAAGCAGTGGAATAGCTGGATCATACAGAATTTCTATGTTCAGCTTTTTGAGAAAATGCCAAACTAAGATCTATAAAAAATCTGCGTTTTGCATATGAAACAACCCTGCTTGCTGAAACTGAGGAGGACCTGAGGCGCTTTCTGTTGAGGGTCAGGGACTACAGCCTTCAATATGGATTGAGGCTCAATGTCAAGAAGACAAAGACTCACACAACTGGACCTATTGGCAGCATCAGGATGGATGGTGAAGAGATTGAGATTGTTCACAGCTTTAGTCTGCTTGGCTCCACAATCAATACTCTTGGCGCCAGCAACTAGGAAATTAAAAGACATATTGCGATGAGAAAGTCTGATGTTAGGGACCTCTCTAAAGTACTCAAGAGCAACGGTGTGTCTCTGGATACTAAGGTGCGTCTGGTACAGGCCATGGTCTTTGCAATCACTTGTTATGTGTCAGAGAGCTAGACAATGACCAGGGAGGACAGAAGGAGAATTGATGCTTTTGAGCTTTGGTGTTGGAGAAGAGTGCTGAGGGTGCCATGTACTGCTAAGAAAACAAACAGATTCATCCTGGAGAGGGTTAAACTGGGCTGCTCCTTGGAGGCAAGGATTCTGACATACTTTGGTCATATTGTAAGGAGAGACTGGTCCTTGGAGAAGGGCGTCATGCTTGGGGGGATGGAGGGCAGGCATAGGAGGGGAAGGCCCTCTGGGAGATGGATTGATTCAGTGACGGGGGCAATCGGGATGAGTGTGTCAGAAACAGGGCTATTGGCACAGGACAGAGCAGAGTTTAGAGCTGTTGTACATAGGGTCTCTATGAGTCGCAAGTGACTCGACGGCACATAACAACAACAGCCTTCTAGAGTGGTTGTACCATTTTACAATCCCCTCGACAGTGTATGAGGATTCCCACCTTTCCACATCATCTCCAATTTTATTGCTTTCTGTCCTATTAAAATTTGAGTGTTTTCATCTAATATACTTTGTGCATGTTATCAGAACAGGCTGGCCCCTGGAGACTTGGCAAAGTAAAATGACATGAGAGGAAAACCTCAAGGAGATAGAGTCACACTGGCTACAGCAATGAACTGAAGCAGAGCATTGTTTGTGAGAATAGTGCAGCGTCAGACATGGTTCTGTTCTGTTCTACTTAGGATCTCTGGGAGGTGAAGCCAACCAGAGAGCATCTAGCAGCAGTGAAACCAGCATAGTAATTGACTAAATGATAAATGACTTGAAAGAATTTTAAACTTTAAAGTGTAAAAGCTGTGTGTTCCAAGACCTGGATATCAGCATAATTTCCAAAACTTATTTATGTTTACTTAAAATTGTTCATAAAGAGTGATTCCTTTAAGAACTGCTCAGACAATCATCTTTGCTAAGTTTCTGGTAGGCAAACTAGACACACATTTTGTTCATGCTGGTTTGTAGGAAGGTCTGCTCACCAGAGGTGACCAAGTATTATTAGGTCACCAGATCATCCAGGTAGGATGTATACCTTGGACCCTGGAGATTTCTCACCAACTATTCAGTTTGCTTTTGTAAATTAGTTTGTCCTTAGTTCATTGACAAAAAGAAAACTCATTTGTGTCTATTTTAAAATTCTGTGGGTTTCTTCCTTTCTTTGTTTTTGAAGATGGTTCAGACATTTTCTCGCTGCATCTTGTGTTCCAAGGATGAAGTTGACCTGGATGAATTATTAGCTGCTAGGTTGGTGACATTTCTGATGGACAATTACCAGGAGATTCTGAAAGTTCCTGCAGCCTTGCAGACCTCTATAGAGGAGCGTGTGGCTCACCTTCGAAGAGTTCAGGTAAAAAGGGAGGATGTATCAATCTTAAATTGACAGGAAGAAGTCACTTTACTTTGAAAGGCTCCTTGGGAATTTTTATTTGAGGATTAGCAAGTTAATACACGTGACATACTTGCAGAATGACCACATGTCTCCTTAGAATATTTGTCCTGAGAGGGACATCATGCTTGCTAGGGTGGAGGAACAGTGCAGGAGGACAAGACCCTTTATGAGGTGGATTGATTCAGTGACTGGGGTAATTGAGATGGGTGTTTTGGAGACAGTACAATTGGCACAGGACAGAGCAGAGTTTATGGCTGTTGTACATAGGGTTGCTATGAGTCACAAGTGACTCCAAAGTACATAACAACAACAACAGCAATATGAAAAATGTTCATTTCTTTGTTTACAGTGACTATTATGCTGCCATTTTAATGGATAATGAGTATAATCTTACTGTTGCTTTAGTTTAAACTTTTTACCCATATTATTATGGGCCAAATCTTAAGAGTGAAAAGGAAAAAAAAAAGAAAATAGAAAACCTTCACTGAAGTTATAAAAGGAACATTTACAGCAGCAACACTGTGCTTTCATGTGCTCGCTCTGCTCACAGTACAGGCAGCTTCCAGTAACAGCAGCCCTGTGAGTCCTTTGCTGTCAGCAAAGATCAGAAGGCTGAGCCATTGATGATTAATTTAACTGCAAGTAAACATGATCTTGTGAAGAGACACAGCGAAACCTGCTGAGTAAAACCATTGCCTTCTCAATTGTCTGCTAATAGTTTCTGTCTTAGAGGTGCTCTGTCGGATTGCCCAGCTTAGAACCTTGGAGCTGTGTTCTTTCAGGAAGCCACTAAGCTCCCAAATCAAAGCATGCTGAGGCCAGCATGCATCTCAAAGTGCAGTGACTGTTCTGGTGAATTGTCATAGGGCTGTTTCATAGATTCATAGATGTTGTTTTTGTTTGGTGCTGTTGATATGACTCATAGCCACCCTGTAAACAACAGATCTGATCCCTGTCCTGTCCTGTGCCAGCCTCACAATCTCTGACACACTCGAGGCCATTCGAAGGTGAACCTGTGTAAAATCATGAAGCTGGCAACATTCTTGGCACCAGCCTTCTATTCACTTTGTGTGCCCTCTGATCCCCAGTGCCTAGTGTTTTTCTCATGCCTCTGACCCTTTATTCGGGTCTTCTGCTCTATATAAAAGGTAAAGCCCTTTCCCTGTGGCTCTGGGCTGTTACTACCAAAAAGATCATTGCTATCTAGTAGATTTCAAGTCATATTAATTACAAATCAATATTGATATAAATCATATCTGTATACTTATAGAACAGAGTAGACCTCCCTCACAGGTTTTCAGGGCTGTAAACTTTTCCAAATAGACTTCCTCCCATGGCATGGTTGAATTCTAAGTATTGATTGCAATTCCATGGTCTCTGATGCCACTATTTCACCTGAAAATTGATGTTTGAGTGTGGAATATGCTTAATATAATAACCCTCTAAACAGCATGTTTATTTTTAGTTTAGACTTCTGGGAATATAAAAGATGAATGGTTACAAAACCAGTTATGGTCAGGTTAATTCCAACTCCTGGCAACCCCACATGTGTCAGAACAGGACTGTATTTTATTGTGTATTTAGTGGCTGATTTTTCAGAGTTAGATCATGTGACCTGTTTTTTTAAAATCTCTTTTTTACTGTACTTGTTACCTGCACATTTACTTTTGCTTGGTTCTCACTCTCAACATAAATGTTTACGTGTCTGTGTGCCTCTGTCCTTTCCTAAGGGCTGGACAGTCTGCAGGTATGAGAACGTACCTGGATGGTTTCACAGTGTATATTGAACAGTAAAATGCCTCTTTTGGGTCTTTCAGTCAATATGCTTATGTTCAAATTTCACATTTATTTTTTTAAAAAAAGGACACAGGTTTTGTTGTTTATTGAAATGGGTATTGGATTCTTTTGAAAAAATGACAGTCTCATATTAAACCTGGAGCTTGAAGTGAGATTGTTTTGAAATTTTGGGAACACTTTTATTTTCCACTACAGGACTTTTTTCTCAGTAAAATTGAGGAATGAGACGACTTTCCTGTGGGCGATATTCATGTGTTTGATCTGAATGTGTTTTTGTAAATGATGTGAAATGCACCTTTCCCTTTTGCCCAACGCACTAATCATTTTGCCTCAGATAAAATACCCAGGAGCTGATATGGATATCACTCTATCTGCCCCATCCTTCTGCCGTCAAATTAGTCCAGAGGAATTTGAATACCAAAGAGCACACGGCTCTCAGGAGCCTCTCACAGCTTTGTTGGAGGATGTCATAACAGACACCAAACTCTCCAGCAAGGAGAAGAAGAAAAAGTTGAAACAGGTAAAAAAAGAGATACATATGTAAGTAATTTCTTTATTTTATTGATTTTATATTGTATTTTTTCCTTTGCTTCTCTATTTTAATGAGTTTATTTCATAAGAATTCTGTCTTCTGAGATATGTTCTTGCTAGGTGCCATCGAGTATGACTCATAGTGACCCTATGAACAATAGATCTGAATCCTATCCTGTTCTGTGCCATCCTCACAATCTCTGACACTTGAAGCCATTGCTGCAGTCACTGTGTTAGTCTATCTCATTGAAGGTGTTCCTCTTTTACTGACTCTTCCACCTTTTCAAACATGTCACTTTCCAAGGAATAGCCTCTCTTAGCAACATGCCCAAAGTTTGTGAGATGAAGCTTCACTGTCTTCGTCTTCACTCTGCTGTACTTTTCCCAGACAGATCTGTTTGTTCTTTTGACAGTTCATGGGATGCTCAGTACTCTTCTCCAGCACCACAACTTAAAGGCATCATTTCTTCTTCTGTCATTCTTATTCATTGTTCAAGTTTTGTTTTAATTTAAATGTCATGGTATAGTTTATGTAAGTGTTGCCATTTTGACATTAAATGTATACATATTTCAGTGGCATTAATTATATCACAGTGTTGTACAACATTAACAGTATTCTTTTCGAAAACCTTTCATAAATCCAGACAGAAATTCTATGCCCTTTCACCCCTTGAGTCCAGAAAAGCACTAGTTTACTTCCTGTCTCCATGTATTTATTTGCCTGTTTAAATCTTTTCCTGTAACTGCAATGGTATAATACTTGTCCTTTTATGTCTGGCTCATTTCACTTTATATAAAGTTTGTCCTTACAGTGACATACGTTAGAATGTCATTTCTCTTTATGCTGGAATGTTCCATTGTATTATATACTGCATTGTGTCCATCCTCTCATTTGGTTTTTTTGTTGTTGTTTTGGATTTCCATTCATTTATTGTTGCACACTTTCCTCCCTGCCCATCCCTCCCCCTTGTTCACTTTTGAAAAGTAAGAAAAAAAATTCTTTCACTGTTAGTC